TTATTAACTCCTAACTCAGGCCAGAGCATGGTGTGATGTGAAAAGCTCCCAGGGGAACCTCTGTAGCACAGTGGGGGTCTCTATGGTCAGAGGATTCAGGAGATGATGAACAATGTGGCCAGGAAAACATGGACTGAAAACTTTAGGGAATAATCATAACTTTAGGCAAGAAAAATTATTGACTAGAGATCTGTCTTTAAGGGGTTATGTAGGCAAGGGAAAAGAAAAGAGACATTTGTAAGAAAGACTAGAGAAAACAGATGACACACATAAAAAATCTAATGTATAAATGAAGCCAGCACTTGGATTCTCCTCTGAGAACTTAGGAGTAGGCATTAGAGGCTGTGGCATGCTCCTTACTGTTTCAGCAGCTACCATGAGAAACAAGGCTTTGTTTCTTTTCCCAAGGACAGAACCAAACCCTCACTTCTTTGTATCTTGAATCCCTACCCACGAGCACTTCCATATGAGACACACATATAATATAACACACCACTGCAGTGAAAGTAAATGCCTTTTATTAGTCAGAAGAAAGATGCCCAAAGGCATTCATCATTTAGCCCACAGGTGGCAGCTGTTCTCTAGGAGATAAGTGAGCACAGGCAAGTGCAGGAAAGGGGGTTAGTGGTACTTGTGAGCCAGGGCAGAGGCCACACCAGCCACCACCTTCTGAAAGGCAGCCTGTGCAGCGGGGGTGAAATCCTTGCCCAGGTCGTGGGACAGCACAATCACGATCATATTGCCCAGGAGCTGTGGGAAGACAGAACAGGCATCACATCATACTAGAGCAAAAACACCAGACACTGCAGGTTCATTTCAAACGGCAACTTATGGTTACAGTCTTAAAGCATAAGCAGAATGACAGCTGGGTCCCACCTGCCAATGCTGATAAGAATCCTCTATATCAACAGAATTTATAGGCAAATTGTATTCTTCCCTATCAGCCTAGTCAGAGAGCCCGCGGTCTCTGTTATTCTTTAAAGCTGTGCAAGGAAGCAGAGAATCGCCTATCTTCCTTGTCCTCAAAGCAAATTACCAGGAAATACTTGAAAGAAAAAAAAATAAGAAAAGAAAAGTAGAAAAAGAATTTCTTAGAAAAAGAAAGAGGAAATCATAGCCTTGAAGAACACAGAAGGGAGACCACGATATTGAGTGGAGGTAAAATCGTCAAACTATTGCCGGTCCTCCACGGGGCCAAGCAGGCATCATCAGTCCAAATTGCTCCCTAGTGTCTCTTCCCTCTTCCTTCTGATGGGAAGGTGAACACCAAAGCCAGAGGAAGGAAACCACGGGCAGGCCCATCACACTCACCCTGAAGTTCTCAGGATCCACGTGCAGCTTGTCACAGTGCAGCTCACTCAGGGCAGAAAAGGTGCCCTTGAGGTTGTCCAGGTGTTTCAGGCCGTCACCAAAGGCAGTGATCACCTTCTTGCCATGGGCTTTCACCTGGGCATTGCCCATGACAGCGCAGGCAGAGGACAGGTCCCCAAAGTGTTCAAAGAACCTCTGGGTCCAAGGGTAGACAACCAGCAGCCTAAGGAGAAGACAACGGGAGGACACTGGAAGTTAGTGCCTGTGGAAAACAGACCCGGGTCTCCAAGCACCCAACTTGTGAGCTGCATTGTAACCTCAATACCAACCTGCCCAGGGCCTCAGCGCCAACTCCGTCAGCGTTCACCTTTCCCCACAGGCCGGAGATGGCAGCCTTCTCGGCATCAGTCAGGTGCACCATGGTGTCTGTTTCTGGGCTTGTGCTTCAACACAACTATGTCAGAAGCAAATGTGAGGAGCAACTTGTCCTGCCCCACCTTTTATGCCCTGCCCTGGCTCCTGCCTTCTCTGCCCGCTGTGAGCAGATTGGCCAATTCCAGGGTGTGGCTCTGCAGGGCGAGGCTTCAGCAATGACAGCCATATCTCTCCCTGGCAGCTATGGCACTGACTTAGGAGTCTGAGCACTGGGTCCTCCCTCTGAATAGTGTCTGTCCTTATCCCTGCAGCAAACACTGGCCCTAACACATCCTTTTTGGCAACTTTCAATAAGTTAGCACCAAGTTAACGACCAAATTGATTGTTAAAATACTTTCCCAATTATTTCATTCTGCAAGTGAGAAACTGAGGCACAAACTTTAGATGTGAGTTTCTCGTTGTTTCCAGTTTGAGTTCATGGAAGGACCTCCTTCTCTCTCCAGGGTGCTCCAGAGCATGCATCATGATCCTTAGCACAAATTGTGGTGCTCCATCGTGCTTCTAGGCATGCCTTCCTTCGGGTGGCACTTCCGCCTGGCTAAAGAATAGACACTGTTTTCTGTTGTCTTTCATTTCTCTCACATTTTTGTTTTTGTGGTTTATTTGTATGTGTATATATGTGTGTGTGTGTATACATATATATATGTATAGTGTGTGTGTGCATGTGTGTATCAAGTTTAATGAGCACATGTGTGTGCGAGGAGTGTGGGAGGAAGCCAAAATTCTGACTTCAGGGAATCTTCTTCAATTGCTCTCGACCTCTTGTTCATTGAGTCAGGATCTTGCAGGTCAACCCAGTGCTCACATATGCAGTTAGCTTGGGCAGCCTGCTCTCTAGGGATCCCTCTGCTGCCCTCCAAGCTTTGAATAACAGGATGACAGCACGCGATGCTCATGGTGAGTGTATCTGTGTGTGCCTAGACCTACGTATGGAACTTACCTAGCTCTTATGTCTTTACACAACCCCAAAAAAATAATGTCTGGAAAATTAGGTAAGTCTGAATTGAAATTATCTTGCGCAGTAATGACTCGATTCAATTTTAGGGACCCAGAGAAGCAAACAGAGAACTTTCAATTCTGAAAAAAACCCAAAATATAAAACTATTTAGAACCCTATGCTTTGAAACATTAGGAGAGGCAATTCTCAAAGTGGGGATGCCTAACTGCTTCTGTCTGGGAATGTGCCTGTAGTTAAACAGAAAAGAAGGAAGAAAAGCATTCTACTGGTGACTGACTGATTGATCAATTAATTGATTGGTTGACTGGCTCATTCATTCACTCAGTTTTGTGGTTGTTAGCCATTAAGTATACTATATTTTGGACCATTTTCTTGATTTATCTCATGCCTTAGTTGAATTTTTGTTACTGTTGTGTAAGCTTGATACAAGTCAGAATTATTTGGGAAACCAAGAGAAACCTTGCTTTAAAAAATGCCTCCCACAGATTGCCTGTAGGAAAGCCTGAAGGATATTTTCTTGATTAATAACGGACGCTGTTGGACACAGCCCACAGAGAATGATGCCATCCATCAGCAGGTAGTTCTTGATGCTGTAAGGAAGCAGGCTGAGCCAGCTGAGAGAAGCAAGCCAGTGACCATCATTTCTCCGTAGCCGCTGCATCAGTTCCTGCCTCCAGGATCCTGACTTGAGGTCTTATCCCAACTTCGCTCCATGACATAACAAGACTTGAGAAGAGTAAGATGAAATAAATGAATGGATTAACGAATGAATTATAATAAATTATAATTCAGATGTTTTTCAAATTTTAAAATATTCTTTAGAATTCCATACGTGTATACAGTGCATTTTGATTATACCTACTTCTCTAACCTTTCTTAGACACCCCTGCCTGATCTCCTTATTAACTTTACATTTTCTCTCTCTCTCTTTTTCTTTCTTTTTTTTTTCCCCACTGAGTACAGCCAGTGCTGCTCACAGAACCATGGATGCTACTACTCCAACTACTGGAACATAGGCAAACTCCTAGGAGCCACGGTGTGACAGAAATACACACCTTAATGCCTTTCTCCCATTAAGTTACCAGGCAAATAATGGGTTCTGTGTCATTTGCTGCTCCAAGAAATTTAACTTTGTTTTCATTGCTCCCTTCTTCTGGTAATTCCTCCTTCACTGATAGATTGGTTTCCCCTCTCATTTTACCTTTCCCAACCCCTCAGTGGTATGGGCAAACAAAACTCACTAAGTCACTTAGATCGTTCTTGGTCATGTAGAAAAGGCTGGGTTCGGGAAGATGGCTCAGTGGTAAAGGTGATTGCTGCCAACCCCGAGGACCGGAGTTAGATTCCCAGCAGCCACATGGTGGATGAAAGGAGATCCAACTCCCATAGCTACTTCTAAATTCCACATCCCTCACACACACCCGCCCTCACCAAAATAGGTAAATGTAAAAACAAACAACTTCTAAAAAAAAAGAAAAGGCTGGGTTCTTCTACAGTTTTCTGGAGTTTAGGTAACAACTATATATGCACACATATTATTTTATGTAATACATAACTTTTATGTATTATATAGACTAGTACATTTTTATTTTTATTATTAATTAAATTTGTTAATTTATTTTACATTCCAACTGCAGTTTCTCATCCCACCTCCCGCCCCATCTCCCAACCCACTTTTCCTTTCTCTATTTCTGTTCAGAAAGGGACAGGCCTCCCATGGGCATCAACAAAGCATGGTTTATCAAGTTGAGGTGGGACCAAACTCCTCCCCTTGTATTAAGACCCGGCAAGGCAACCCAGTATGAGGAATAGGTTCCTGGAAGTCAGCCAAAGGCTTAGGGACAGGCCCTGTTCCCACCACTAGGAGGAACACAAGTAGATCAAACTATACAACTGTCCCACATCTGTAGAGGGCCTCGGTTAGTCCCACACAGGCTCCTGAGCTGTTGGTCCAGAGTCTGTGTGCTCCTATTAGCCCAGTTTCGCAGTCTGTGGGTTCCCTTGTGTTTTTCTTGAGACCCCCTCCCTCTCCTCAGAAGAATTCCCCAGATTGGCCCAGTGCTCGGCTGTGGATCTCGTCATCTGTTTCCACCAGTCACTGGATGACAGCGGTCTGCTAACAGCTGGGGTTGTTTATACCAGTGCCGCTTTAATAATCTTCACTAAAACCCCAAGAAATAAGATTTAATTATTTTCTTTCAGCTTTGTATAATACACAAAAGTTTCCTACTTATAGGCTTTCTGTGACCTTTTCCATTCCTAGAGAAAAACAAACAACAACAACAAATAAAGGAAATGAAATTTAGCGAATTTTTTATTAGGCAGAAGCTATCTTAAAGGCGGGCATGTCTCCCCATGTGTAGAAGATAATTTTCTAATAGTCTTCCAGTGATCTTGAGGAAACAGGCCATGGCCTCAGTGGTATTTGTGAGCCACTGTTATCTGGAAAACGGCCTGTACAGCTGGGATGATGTCATCTGGAAAACAGCCTGTACTGCTGGGATGATTTCCTTGCCAAAGTGTAGGTACAGGCGATCACTATGCTACCCAGGAGTTCTGGGGAAGATCACACAAGCACATACACATAGTTAACGGAGAAATCAAGCTAGTCCTCTGAGGAATGGCACCAACACCATAGATTTCTAGGTAATTACTTCTAAAATTAAAAAGAAAGTAAATATGCCTATGTATTTGTGTTTTCATATATGCTTATATTAACTACTTTGTTGATTGATAACTTTGGTGATCAGCTCTGTTTTAGCAACTGCTGCCGCCCTATCTCTAATATTACTTTTAGGCCTCCCATCCTCAAATACTCGCTTTTTCTTTACTTTGCATTTACTAAACCTAAGTTAATTAAGTTCTAGTTATTTGTTTTAAGAATGATGCATGGGTTCTAGAGCTACTGTGTCCCTTTCTCTAAGGAGCTTCTCAAAGTCTTGTGTGATGATAGGAATACAAGGATGTTTTCAGATTTTAGACATAGCAAATGAGAGACAATATGCATAATTTAAAAGTGGGTCTACAAAGCAGATTTGAGAATGAAAGGAGGAAAGAAGGGAGAGGGAGGGAGGGAGAGAGGGAAGGAGAGAGAGAGGGAGGGAGGGAGGGAGGAGGAGAGAGGGAAAGAACTATATTTGTTTAAAAGGGAGGCAAATACGGACTGTGAAGGAAAGTTGACAAAAGATTGAAAGGCATCAAATGGTGCAATACAGAAAAGTAAAGGGAAACCTGGGGTGAAGCACACAGCAAAGGGAGCATGAGTGTGAAAAGGAGACAGTGGAGCGTCCGGCCCACGCACCCTGAAGTTGTGAGGATCTACACGAAGCTTGTGACTGCAAATCACTCAGGATGGAAAACCTGTTGTTCAGATTGTCCCCAAACCTGTTGTTCAGATTGTTCCGGTGTTTCAGGGCTTCACTGAAGGATTCTAGCACCTTCTTGCCAAGAGGCTTCACCTTGGGGTTACTCGCAATGGCAGCATGGGAGGAAATGTCTGCAATGTGTTCAAAGAATCTTCAGATAGACCCCCAGGGAAGAGAAGCAGTAGCCTAAAGAGATGAAAACAGCCCAAAGGATAGAGAAAAATTAGTTCTTGCCAGACATTCTGCTCTCTCTTCACCCACCCAGCTCCCATTTGTCCTTGTTGTACTGTTTGATACGATCTTCTCCTGTGACTCAGCACCAACTTTCTCATTGTCCACCTGGTCCCACAGGCCACTGATGGCCAACTTCCCATTGCCAGTCAGTGCGCCATGGTGTAAGGCTGCTGCTAGCGAGTAAACTGGTGAGCAGTAAGTTCAGGCCCAGCTGGCATTGCTCTACCGTCTATGCCCAGTCCAGAACACAGACCCTAAGATATCAAAGTTCACAGGCTTGCAAATGAAAGATTCTCCCCTCTTCCCCGGTTCATACCATCCGAGGGTTCTGAATCCTGCACTTCATGACTCAGAAACCTGATTCTCCCTCTGTTTGTGTCCCAACCACATCCCACTCAGCTGTTATTTCCACAGTGCTAGCTGGGACATCATTCATGTTTCAGCCTGATATAGTGGGATATGTCTTAGCCTAAGGTTAGATTACACTCCTAAAGCTAGCCTCCAAGGCCTATTCCCTTATTTGGCCAATTCCTCATCCTGAGGTTGACTACCAAGATCCAGCTATCAAAGTATTAAAGTCCAACCATCAAAAGCCCCCTTTGACTCATTTAATTAACATACTCAATTAAAACTAACATGGGGTTTCCCCTTGTATCTTTATAAACCGCCATTTTCCTATGTACCATGTCTGTCTCTGTCTCTCTATCCACATGCAGTTCTTGCCTGACCCTGGGACAAATATCTCTGCCCCCTTTCCCTGGTCCCTTACTCTTCTCCCTCATCTCCTACCTCCTTTACCACCACATCTTAGCCCATCCTAACACAGACCTCCCCTTATTCTCTTCTTAAGAATGCCACCTGCGAAATCATTTGCTGTTGTTTTTCTGCCTGAGTCAGAAAGCAGCCACTTTAACTTTTCTTCCCGGCTTAATAAAGACTATCTCTGGGAAAACAGGTGTTTGGGTGTTATTTATGCCTAATCTGGGATCTGGGAGGGAGTCCACAGAGGGAATGCCCTTCAGGTGCTGTCCTTGCATGGTAATTGTTGGGTCACAACGGTAGCCGGGCTTGAGGCTGCAAGTCCAGTTTGAGGTCTCTCCTAAATACTCTGAAGTGTCAGGATCCTTTCTATTTGAAATATTTATGGCAATTTCTATGTTTTGGAAAAAGATGATTTGTCTTCCTTGTAGATCCTCTGTGATGTTGCCTATCCCTGAAAGGAAAATAAATGAAATGAATCATGAAATTATTTATTGGGCAGATATTATACCATGAGGATGGGTGTTTCCCACAACTTCAGAATGTAGGATTCTAGAAAAGGGTTTCCTAATGACCAAGATGAAATAGGAATCTTAGTAGTATTTGTCAGCCATGACAGCAACTACAGCAGTCACCTTCTTCTGAAAAGCAATCTGTAGTGTTGGAATGAATTCCGTGCAAAGTGGCAGGACTGCAAATCACTATCATGCTGCCCAAGAGCTGTGGGGAGGAAGAAGACAGACATATACATATGATAAGAAGAGAAATTAAGCTTGGCTTCTGAGGAACTGTACCAACACTGTGATTTTCTTCCCACATTCTATCCCAATTTGATCCCTAGGCAATTTCTTCCAAAATAAAAAAGGAAATATAAGCATGTATGTATTTATGTGCATCTAAATATGTATGTGTGTACATATATTTTATATGTATACACAGATAGATATATTCTATGTACATGCTTAGTAATCAATTGATCAGTGTGATGATGTGCTGTAACTTTACAACTCCTGTTGCTCCATCTCTAATAGATGGTCAGACCTTTCTTTCATCCACAGATACTCATTTTTCTTTCCTTTACTTTGCATTTACTCCTAATTTCATGAAAATTTGCTTATTCTTTCCATGGCCTTTAGAACCACATGTTCTGTCTTATTGCTTGAGGATAGATATTCTGAAAGCCTCATATGGAATCAGGAGAATGTTTATCCAAATCTAGAATAAGAAAATGTGAAGTAGGGTGTATAATTGGCATAGTGACCTAAGCAAGAGACTTGAGAATAAGTGGAAGTGGAGGTGTGGGTAGGGGACCAAAGACAGAATATAAAATGAAGAAGTTTCTTTAAGGGAAGATTGTGAAAAAGGTAAATAAAGAATATTAACCAAAAGTTGAAAATCATTAAGTGGTGAGGTGTAGGAAAGTGAGAGAGAATGTGGGGGACACAGAATTGACTGAAACCCGAGAGCATGGAGAGCAGACAGAAGGGTCCCCAGCACGCTCTGAAGTTCTCCGGATCCACATGCAGCTCCTCACAGTGCGGCTCACTCAGGCTGGGAAAGCTTGCTCAGTTGTCAGGAGTTTCAGGACTTCACCAAAGGACTCCATCACCTTCTTGTCTAACGCCTTCATCTGGGGTTGTCCTCAGGGGCAACATGGAAGGAAATGACGTCAAATGCTCAAAGTAGTTCTTGGACTGTGGAAGGACAAACACCAGCCCTGGCAGTGAAAACATCAAAGGATAGAGCAGTTCAGTGCCCCACATATCCCGCTCCATATGTTCCCTTGTGCTGTTTGTCCTGACATCTCCAGGGTTTCAGTACCAATTTCTTCTGCCTTCCTCATCCCACATGCCAGTGATGGCAGCCTTCTCATCTGCAATGAGCTCTACATCTCGTCTCTGTGTGAGGTTCCTAGGAAACACGGCTGCATTACAGTAAATGCACAGCTGGCCCCGCTCAGCTCCTATAATAACTTGTTATACTATCTTTGGTTAATATTCCTGGGGGGTCTGCTCTTTTCTGAAGGGAAAGGGAGGAGGAGCGGATACAATGGGGAGGGGAGGTAGGGAAAGTCTAGGAGGAGTGTCAGGAGGGGCAAGTGCAGTTAAGATGCTTTGTATGAGAGAATTTTAAAAAAATTAAAGGGAATTTTATGCTTTTATTCCAATTTAACTATAACTTGATATGCCATGTTTTGTTGATATCAATGGTAGGTCTGTCCTTTTCTGAATAGAAACAGAGGAGGTGTGGATGGGGGTGGAGTAAAGGAGAGTTGGGGTGGTGGGGCCTGGGAGGATAGGAGGGATGGGAAATTGTGGTTGGGATAGATAGATAGATAGATAGATAGATAGATAGATAGATAGATAGATAGATAGATTAAATTTTTAAAAAAGAAAGGGGAAAGAAAGAAGGGAGTGAAGGAAGGAGGGGAAAGAAAGGGAAGAAGAAGAGATAAATTTAATTAAACAAAATGAAACGAGGGAGGCAGTAGAACAGTGACGTGGGGTAAAGAGGAGAGAAGACACAGACAGAGGGAGGAAGGCTGTGAGGCTTAGAATGGAATGGAAGAAACGAAGGGGGAATGTGTAAAGTGAACAAGAGATGTTTTATCTTATAACATAAAACTGATAAAAATCACCAAATATAAAGATTCCAAGCTATGTAATTGGTAGATGTGTCAATGGGTTGATCAAATGGTTGGTTCTTGTGTGCTGAGAAATTGGGAATGCAGTCGAGGGTTGTAAATAAGTCCTGGGTCACTGGCACCCCCAGCCAATATGATTGTGTTTATATATCAAATTCTCAGTGTCAAGGCTGGTTTCTGATCCTGAAGAAGAACTGTGTATTATGGCAGGGCAGAGCAGTTCCAAGAGTGACTTTTAAATAGATCATTATTATTTGACTTATAAACCAAAATATCTTGAAAATTTTATAAACAAATAGACATCCTAATTTTTTGCTTAAGTTTTGCTTTGTTTCTTTGTATACATTTTTATTGTGTTAAATCTAACATGAAGTTTATCACCAACCATTTAAGAGACAATTTTGATGCTATTAGATACCTTCTTAGTTTTGTATGGCCATCACCGCTCTCCACTTTCTGACCTTCTGCCCCATTTCCAACAGAGATTGCACTGCGTCTTCCCTTAGCCCTGAGTAAAGCATTTTCATCCCATTCTGCCTTTTGTCTCTGGGATAAAATTAGTCTAGTTTGTTACAGGTAAGCCCACACCCTATGTTAGCACAGAGGTTCTATTTTATTTGTATTTTATAATGGTATTTATAATTTATTTATTGTATTTATGGTAACTTTTACATTTTTGTAATTTGTTCATATATTTATCGAGACAGAGTTCTCTATGTAACACTAATTAGCCTAGAATAGATTATCTTGGTCTTGAATGCACCTGGTCAGATTCTTATCGTTCCTATGCAGAAGTGGACTTTAAAAGTAGATTCATTAAAGACAAAGCACTATAGCGCACTTGTAGCAGGGAAGGAGGTAGCAACGCTATCTGTGTTATTAGGCTTGGCCCATGATAACTGAAAAGGGGAATACAAGTGAGGGTCAAGTCCACAAGGGTGATGTTGAATAGATCAAGATTTGTCTGGCACACACTGTATTTGGAACATTCTTAAACAAGCCAAAATGAAATATTAAACATGTAAGTTTGGCTCCCTCAAAGAGCACAGCCAGGTTAAGAATATAAGAAGACTTAGAAACAGATCTCAGTGTGCACTATAAACCAAACTTCTACCCTTAAAAAATAGCAGAAAATGCACTTTATCAAATTTTCCTAGAAATCTTGCAACACATATATGATTACCCAATCATTGACCCTTTTATGAAAAAAGGAAATTGATTCTGTAACACTGTTAGCAGAAACGCTGAGCTGCTACATGATGCCATTAATCCCAGAGCCACTGTCAAGCCTTGCTACCCTGGGAGTGCTTTGAGAGCAGTGTTGCGATAGAATGAAGCCTTAAATTAGAAATATTTCAGTCATTTAATATTTGATTTTTAATCACAGGAAGGAAAACAAGAAAAGTCAAGAAGACTAAATACTGTTTTGAGTGTAGGGTTATTTGACTGACTGAAGCAGCTGCCACTGGTAGGAAAGCCACAGCAGAAAAAATGGAAAACCCGGTAACCAACGGCACCTTGAAGACACCTGTGTGGAGTCAATAGACGCTTCCACCTGTGTGAAGTGGAGGAGTTCGATAGAGACTTCTTCCACCTGTGTGGAGGAGTCTGACAGACACTTCCACCTGTGTGGAGGAGTCTGACAGACACTTTCACCTGTGTGGAGGTAAGAGGACAGAGCTGGAGAGCAGGCCGAAGGTGGGGGTTGGGTAAATAACCCTGAAGAGTTTGTGCAATAATGATGTACTCACAAAGTAATTTGATAACTACAAAGTTAATGTGTTGACAGTGAAGCTTTAGGGAGCATAAAACAATGTGGGATAAAATAGAGTTGGAAGAGTCACTATTTGTTTTCACTCAGAACTGATTTCAATTAAGGAAATGCAAACTTTAACGGGGGGGTATTCAAGTTACAATTGGAGTCAGAGTAGATGCTCTGGATTTTGATGACAAAACACTGCGGGGAGAGATGCATACGAGAAAGGTGTGCCAAAGAGAGGTAAAGAAACACTGGCTGTCATGTAAATACACCACAGACTCAAGTGTAAATACTTCTTGCCTATTTACCACATGGCTATCCTGAACTATTTAACATTTGATTTTTAATCGGCATAAAATAAACTCAATAATTAAACTCAGTTCAGTTCTACTTTCTGTGAGCCTGAATGAGTTAGTTGTACTAATGCTGCTTTATTCACTTGTGAAAGTGCAAATTTACCTGATTCACATTACTCAACACTGAGACAATTGTATTCATATGCATAGCACAGTGCATAGGAGGCATAAGTCTGAGTAGGTGGCACTATTTTCTTTCAGTTCTGCTTTTTCAGCTTTAACTCTGCTTGACTTCTCTTAGAATTTGTCTGAAGTAACTTATCAAGATGCTGGTCTCTGCAGCTATCATGCATTACATGCCCTAAGAGGAGAGGTGCAGGATTATCAGTTAAGAGTATCCTAGGTTGCAGACTGAGTTAAAGTCACCTGTTCTACATGAGACAACAACAACCAATTGGTGTGGTGAATATTCAGCAGATGATAGACTTTTATGCAAGTATATGGACTTGAATTTGATTCCCTGTGTCCCGATTAAAATTAAAACCATCAGGTGTGGTGATGGTTTACATGTTCCCAGAGGCAGAAAGTTGGATTCCTGAGATTTACTGGCTCTACCAGCCTAGACTGCATAGCCATTAGCTTGTTTGGTTGTTATATCTGGGAGCCCTGCTCTTTTCTAAGAGGAAACAGAGGAGTGGATCTGGGGGAGAAGAACGGAAACTGAGAGGAGTATTACATGAAAGAAGAGAGAGAGAGAGAGAGAGAAAAGAGAATTTTAAAAATGCATTTGTTCCTTTTATTCTTTAACACAGAGTCATACCAACATGATTGCACAGACTTCCACCTGTACACTTATGCAGACATATTCTTAAAGAAGTAATAATAATAAATTTATGTCAGTGAATTATTTTCAGTCTTTTTTGGTATCTCCCTTTTTCGTATTTTCATTGGTAAAATATTGCTAAAGAACCAAAAATTTACCTTAATTTGTTAAAAATCATTCGTTATCCTTGTTAGTAAAAATAAAGAATAATAATAATAATAATAAGATGAGCGGCTCCCCCACTCCAAAGAAATCCAATTAGGACAGATCAAACCAAATTAAAATGCAGGGAGACAGGAAAGTAGGGAGCACATACAAACCCAGAACCATTTGTTTGTCCTCTGGGAGTCCACTTAAATACCCTGTGGAAGTGGTTCTGACCCTCTCACAGGGAGGGGTCAGGATCTGGCATGCTGGGATTTGGAGTCCAGACTAATGCAACTCCCAGGCCAGGAGGCTGGGATGGATGCCAGGGGCTGGGGCTATGCTCCAGACTTAACAATCCTGATCTGTACATAAGTAAATCAGGAACAATTTTAAGATGATATTGCTTGGACTTCTGACTGGAAAGGCCTAGATTTATAGATTGCCCTTTCTGCAGGCAGAGAGCCTGTCTTCTGCCATTGCTGCATCATCAATCCTTCACTTCATTAAGTGACCAGCCAGAATCAAGAGAGGAGTCAAGAAAAAGAAATGAGATACTGAAAATGGATTTGGCTCTTACTAGCTTGGTGTCATCATTTTGAATTCAGTGAGATCCCACATTTATTCTAATGAGACTGCTATTAAAGTTTCATGGAGTTCAGATATACCCTAGTCTCAATATCCAAGAATTATTGGTCTCCATCCTTGTGGTGGAGACAAAGAGGAAAGTCAAATATTGACCAGTGCAAAGAGTTCAAGAAATGAGAATTGGAATTATTTTTGCCCTAATTTGTCATTATAGCTTCCAGCATTTGTACATTCAAGCACTAACACTTTTGTTTTTGTTTTTTAATTTTATTTTATTAACATTTTTTCATTTATTTTACATACCTCCCGCAGTTTCCCCCTCCCTCCTCTCCTCCAGCTCCTCACTCTCCCTCGCATTTACCCCAATCCCCATCCTCTCCTTCTCCTTCTCCCTTCAGAAAGGGGCAGGCCTCCCATGGGCTGGAACATAGCATGGCACATCAAGTTGAGGTTGGCTAGCTCCTCCCCAGCATAAAGGCTGTGAAAGGTAATTTAGCATGGAGAACAGGTTCCCAAAAGCCAGCTAAGTGCCAAGGACAGGTCCTGATCTCACTGCTAGGAGCCTTACAAACAGACCAAGCTACATAACTGTCACAAACATTCAGAGGGCTTAGATCAGTCCCATGCAAGCTCCCTAACTGTTGGTTCAGAGTCCATGTAATCCCAAGAGCTCGGGTCAGCTGTCTCTGTGGGTTCCCCCATCATAACCCTGACCCTCCTTAACCATAACCTTGGCTTCTACAACCCTTTCTCCCTTTCTTCAGCAAGACCCCTGGAGTTTGGTCCAATGTCAAGCACTGATGTTTGAAACTGACTCAAGACTAAGAAATTCAGTGTCCCTGAGTAACCTGAACTCTCTCAAGCAAATTCAGTGACATGAGAGTCTCAGGCCACTTCATGGCTTCCTCTAGCTATGTACACCAGGTGGAGTGATGTCAGATAGCCTCCCTCCATTTCCTACCCATTCTTCCTGGTAAATCTGGCAACAGGTCTGCCTCATTCCACCTTTGCCAGTTCTTCCTAGGCTGGGAGCCTCACTTCAATTTCTAGGCTTAAACAATTACACTCCCTGTGTGCCCAGTGTCTGCAATTTTGAATTCACTTCATATATGCGAGAAGGTTACTACCTCAATTATCCTAATTTTTGTTCAGTTATTTAAGGAGAGTTATAGTTACTAAAATTTTACTCCATTGTTTGAAACTACATATCGATTGAACCTGGGAGTTTTGTGCCTACTGGCAATCACTGTACAGTTTTCTACATCTTCAACCTCTCTTTTCATTTTCATTGCGCCACCAGATCCCAGTAATTTCTGTAGTGTGACTTGACATTGCTAAATGGTCCTGGGAAGTCTCAGACTAGCTCTTAAGTATTGGATTTACCATCTCCTGTTACATAGTTGTATGTTATAATTTTATATTCAGGGACCTGTAACTTTTGGTCTCTTCAATAGCCCTCTGTATTGAATAGTCATTAATGAAGAAACCAAGGTATCCTTCAGTAGTTAGAGCATGTGGACCTTCTCATAATTACGTAGTCTTCATTTATATGAAATCGTCCTTGTTCTCAAATGATCCCTAAATTTACTATTTCTCTGGTACGTTTAACCTCACTTCAGGACTTGTTACATCCCGTTACACGATCCAGAACACTAAATGCCTTAGCTGTTATTCTTCATTGTGCCAGTGAAGTGACCCTCACATGTGACTAAAGGAAAGTTCAGCTACAGTAACTCCTCAAACTTTTTCAAACAAGATCTCACATATCACTCCGCTCCCCATTTACTTTAATATCTCAGTCTCACAAGGTATAAGCCAGCTCTTCAAAAATGCACAATGAATTAAAAACAATACTTCTAGCTTATATTTTAGATACATAAGGATTTCTCTTAAAAATCTACAGCTTGTTTGGAGGTTAAAGAGAGGACTCAGATATAAAAGCATTTGCTGCTCTTCTAAAAGACCAGACTTCAATTCCCAGTACCCACATGGCAGCTCATAACCAGTTGCGCCTCCAGTCCAGGGGATATGATCCTCTCTTGGTCTGCATACTCTCATACACATATCGCAAAACTTAAGAAAAATTTTAGCGTGTCTCACTAGCCTTCTTTCCCCCAACCACTTGCTACCCTTGTTTTTACCTTATACAATAAGTGTTTTGTACCCTACCATATACTGAACGAACCCTTTCTTCTCTTCCTGAAGAATTTTTGTCATCTCTTCATCCTCCTTGATCCTCACCACTTTTCCACAGTATATCCTTCCCTCCCCACCCATAAGCCCACCCAGATCTTCTTTCAACATAAAAGTTTAAAAAAAAAAACAATATTAGATCATTGAGAATCAACTTTATTAAGCAAAATCTGTGCTCTTAAGGCCTAGTCCAGTCCTCATGTGCTCGAAGAGAGCATGAGAGACACACAGGATTACTGGTCTACAGAAATGGGAGATTAATGGTATTTGTGGGCTAGAGCATTGGCCACACCAATCACCAGCTTCTGCCAGGCAGCGTGCACCTCAGGGGTAAATTCCTTGGGGAAATGACCAGAAAGGACAATCACCAACATGTTACCCAGGAGCTGTAACAAAAAAAAAAAAGGCATATAGAAGTGATAGGTAGAGGTTCAAAGAGATGGCATATAAAAATTACATCCTGTGAGGATCCCAGATTCCCACTACCTATCCCTTCACCTGTAACAAACATGGCAACTGAATTGCGTGATTCCTCTTGTTCCCACACACTACTCAAACAGCTGGATCTGTACCCTTCCTCATTCCTCCTGTTTTCCTTGCCTCCTGTCTCATTCAACAGTGGACTAATCTAAATGAGCATAAGATTGCAGGGCAACAAGATGCTTAATGGAGTCAAGTGTCCAACCAATAAGGAAGAAGCCTCCAATTATGCCTATGCTCAGTGGGAATGTAAAACACTTAGTTTGTCAAAAGACGAGCAAGATCAGTTTTTGAAATTCATTCATATCCATCCCTAAAATATCGATTATTAGGCACCAAATAAATAAGATATTTTCTCTTGCTAATGACAAAATATCCAGTTCAAATTCTGTTTCTTCTTGCATAAATCTACAAGTGTCTAAAAACACACTCTTTTAAAAAAAGATCCAGTATCTGAACCCGTTGTTTCCCAATGCTAGAGATCCAACACAAGGCTTCAGGTGTCTAGGAGTACAGTCTATGCTGCACCAAAATCTTTCTGTTCCACAATATTTGCACAGCTAAATATTAATTTAAACTTATACTGCTTATTTACTGACACCAGTTATGGAGCCGTGTAGATTAGAATCTGTGAGGCATTACCGATCATGGTATCAATTCATAGTAATGTCTCTAGCAAAGTTAGTAATGACCACATGAGCATGTTCTGAACTGACCTTGAAGTTCTCAGGGTCCACGTGAAGCTTGTCACAGTGCAGCTCACTCAGATGAGCAAAGGTCTCCTTGAGGTTGTCCATGTTCTTAACCGCCAAGCCTAGGGATGCCAGCACTTTCTTGCCATGGGCTCTGATTCTGGGGTTACCCATGACAGCTTGGGCAGAAGAGAGGTTTCCAAACTTGTCAAAGAATCTCTGAGTCCATGGGTAGACAATCAAGAGCCTGAGACACAGGGCAGTAGCAGTTAGAAAGTCAGAACGTGTCACCATCTGCTAATGGAAGCCTGGCTAGTTCTGCCATGCACGACTTCCCCTCCATTCCTCCCCTGCCCTGGGCTCCCATCCTACCTTCCTAGGGTTTCTCCTCCAGCTTTTTCCACATCCACTTTTTCCCATATGCTTGTGACAGCGGCCTTCTCTTCAGCTGTGAAGTGAACCATGGTGTCAGGTCGAGAAGCTGGGAGTTGATCTCGGGTGTGTAGAAGCCAGTGTGCTCAAGTGGCTGAGGACTGGCCTTTTATTCTTCACTCTGGACCTTGCACCCCTTCCCCCTCCCCAGGACTCTGAGGCCATTGGTCAAGAGAGGCTGGACAAGACAGGGGTGCGGTCCAGAGGAGTCAAGTTGAGATAGCATTCCCAGTAAGATAGTGTTAAGCAGGCCCCTTCCCTCATGGGGGAGACCCTCCTGCTGGTTTTCATAGCTATACTCTCTCTCTCTTTCCTTCCTTACTTTTCTTTGATCCCCTCTCCTCCCAACGGGAGATTTTCAAGGGTATTTCTTTTACACTCTTTCCTTTTGTCTGGAGCTTTCCAGGTCAGTAGGTTAAAGCTGAAGCAGAGACAAACACGGGGAAGCCCTAGAGAGTATGAGGCTCTTTTTTGGCATGGGAATCAGGACCTGAGTGGCAGAAATATGCCCCTTACTCAGAAGCCATACAATACAGGGAAGGGCTGTGCAAACCGTTGGGTGCATTTTTTAGAGGTTTAGGCCATGATCTCCTTTTTTCTCCACAGCCACAGGCTACAAACTGCAACCATGTCTCCAGGAACAAAACAAACAAACCAAAATTTTGTATTATCCTGATCTGTATATGTGAATATGCAAGTAAATATATTCACAGCTATTTCTCAGTTATCTTGTTTTTTCACGTTGTAGTGGTGCTAGGCATAGCTAGCTCTCAAGCGGGTGGTAAATGTCTCTTCTTTCTACAACACAAAAATAGCAGTCTTCGACTGCTGATATATAGAGCCAAATCATTAGTGACGGCAAGAAGAAAAAGAAATTGATAAAAGTGGGCATTGTCTCATCTATTGGCAGTGATAACCAATTTCAGTGCCTTGTACAAGATATGACTTTTTTCTTTTAGTGCCGTATTGAAGAGATAGGAATACCAGAAAGATCAATGTTGTTAATAACGTTAAACTAAAAAATTATTCTTCCCTTATCTTTAAAGTAGACAAAGACAACTTAAACTATCATCCCCAGTCATATTCAAGTCTTCTTCAGTCTTTATCCATTCTATGGAGTCAAGAGCAGGTGCTGTCCTCTGACTTCTACCATTTAAAGATTCCAAACTTTCACATGAAATTGACTTAGGAAGTGAATGTCTTTGAGCAAGTTCAAACTCTCAGGTGTGATTTGCCCACCTGAGTGTCTCACAGTATGCCTTGTATAGTTACACCCACTCAAGATTTGTGATTTCATTGTCTGTTTTCTATTCATACATTCCAGTATATCTGGCACCATGCCTGTCTCTCCCACCTTCGGTCATTGCTGCTGGTTGCATACCTTACTTCACCTGCATGTGAAGTGACACCGGATGACACTGTGACATCCAGTTCCTGAGGATTTAGATCAGCTTTGGATTCATAAGGAGGATATTTTCTCAATAGCCCCAATTTTTCAGTCGGTTTTCCTAAGACTATTTCTTGGTTACTAATCAATTCATTCAGTGTTTTTAGTTTAGTGGTACTGGGAATTGAATCTCTGACATTCCACATGTTAGGCCAGTGCTTCACACTGAGCAACATCCTCAGAGCAGGATTTATTATTCATTCTGAGACAACTCACTAAGTTTTAGGTGAGCATCGAACTGCTCAGGCAGTCTGTTAAACTGTGCTACTTTGCTTGTACTCTCAAGTAGTGGGATGATAAGCAGGCCTCACCAGGTGGACTTATTGTTTCCTACCAAATATAGTAGAATTTTACAATCAAGGTGCCTATTGCCTAAGTTTGGCAAGATTTTACCTCTTCAATACCATATGGCTTTATACAAATCATTAACGTCTAGTTTACAGGGTTTATATTACAGAAAGTTTTAGCATCCATGTAGACTTCTCACATATGAAATCGCCATCATCCCCTGAGAGGGTTCCGCTTAGATCCTTTCTCTCTCACCATCTCATCACTCACTACAGTCTGACAGGGAATTGCAGCAAATTGTCTCATATTTTTGCCTCGTCATTGAGACAATGAAACTCCTTCAAAACATAAGCCAGCTATCGTGGTTTCATTGAAACATTTTTTTAAATGTTCACTGCTCTCTGTCAGTTTATCCTTTTTCTTGCAATCAGACACAGAGAACACCAGATAAAGCATCTGCTGGAAAATGTACACTTAGAGATGGAGAGATGATGACCCAGCGTTTAAGAGTAAATAATGTTCTCAGAGGAACTGAGTTCAGTTCTCAGCACCCATGGCAGGAGGTGCACAAACCCCTGTAACTCCGGTTCCAGTGGGACCTGACCAGTTCCAGTCTGGCCCCAGTAGAATCCTGAACTAAATTGCACAAACCCAAACACAAACAGACACAGAGACACGTGATTAAAAATAAAGTAAATTGTTTCTTAAAATAAAGAATCTGAGTACATTGTTTATCTCAGCTTAGGCATTAGATCTGTGAAAAGCTTTGTCTTAATTAAATAAGACATATCAGAAGCTGCTTCTGACATTTGTCACACTAAGTTTTTGCAACTGCAGTACAATGCCTTCTCCAGCAGATTAACCTTTCCTTTCCCACATGACAATTCTTCTCAACTTTTCATTCTCTCTGACACCTTAGAAAAATCCCCTAACATCTACCTTCCTCCCCTGTGTCCCGATACAGTTTTCAGAGAAACTTGGGTGTCCTGTTGTGCCACTCCCCGACTATGAGCCTTTCAACCTTCTTTCTTTAATAAAAAAAAGTGAGAAACATGGAATGAGAAAATATTACTCTTGTGCTACTGAAGAGAATGGACTTTATTAAACAGAACTCTGGTTTCAAATTCCAGCATAGCGATTTTATGTAGTTGGGGCTGAGGGGTACACAGAGTGCTGGTCATCAGGAAAGGGGGCTCAGTGGTGCTTGTGGGACAGAGCATTGGCCACCCCAGCCACCACCTTCTGCCGGGCAGCCTGCACCTCGGCCGTGAATTCTTTGTCAAAGTAAGAAGAAACAACAATCACCAGCGTGTTTCCCAAGAGCTGTGAGAGGAAATACAAAAATGAGAGGGGGAAAAAAAAGGCAGAAAGGAGAATTTACATGAAAAAAAATAGTACGTTTAAGCTACTTTCCCCCTCCCCAGGACTCTGAGGCCATTGGTCAAGAGAGGCTGGGCAAGACAAGGGTGCGGTCCAGAGGAGTCAGGTTGAGATAGCATTCCCAGTAAGATAGTGTCAAGCAGGCCCCTTCCCTCATGGGGGAGACCCTCCTGCTAATTTTCATAGCATTTACTCTCTCTCTCTCTCTCTTTTCTTCCTTCCTTTCTTTTTTTTTTTTTTTTTTTTTTTTTTTTTTTTGTCCCCTCTCCTTTCAACAGGAGATTTTCAAGGGTATATCTTTCACACTCTTCTCTTTCTTTCTGGAGCTTTCCAGGTCAGTAGGTTAAAGCTGGAGCAGAGACAAACACAGGGAAGCCCTAGAGAGTATGAGGCTCTTTTTTGGTATGGGAATCAGGACCTGAGTGGCAGAAATATGCCCCTTACTCAAAAGCCATGCAATACAGGGAAGGGCTGTGCAAACCATTGGGTGCATTTTCTAGAGGTTTAGGCCATGATCTCTCTCTTTCCCCACAGCCTCAGGAAAGCAGTTCCTGATACATTTCCATTTCTGGGTAGGAATAGATTGGTGTGTAGAGCAAATGTGGTCTCTATATTTGCCTCCATCACTCTTTGAGAAAGAGCAATCTGCTGTGTGCAGATGACAACGTTTTACGCCCTAGGAGCCCACTGTTTCGCACTGGAAGCGTGCAGCTGCCAGGTGATGCCGGAAGTGGGGTCAGTGCTCTTGTCAGGTTGAGTGCTGGAAGACTGAATGACAGGCCGTCAGGTGCTTCAGCCAGGCTCTGTCTACCCTCTTGTGTATCATAAAATAACTGAAGCATCAGGGATATTTCCATCCAGTAACAATACACACACAGTGCTGCAGCTGGGACAGAATTGTACATTAGGAACTCCCTCCCTCGTGGTGACTTTCTTTCCTTCTTTCTTTTTTCATGTTTCTTTTTTTTAATTATTAGTATTTTCATTTTTGATTGATTTTTATTGAGCTCTACATTTTCCTCTGCTCCCCCTTCAACCCTTTCCCGAGGTCTCCATGCTCCCATTTTACTCAGAAGAGCTTGCCTTTTTCTACTTCCCATAAAGATTAGATCTGTGTATGTCTCCCTTAGTGTCCTCATTGTTGTCTAAGTAGTGGTGATTGTCTACTAATAGTTTTAAGAATTCTTTGCTCTTCCCATATAGCGGTGGAAGGAATTTTTTTCTTTGGTGTATCAGTATAGAATGTACAGTCTGAGAGAAAACCAACTACATTATCGTTAATGCAAGACATTTGTAAGCTGGTAGTAATGTATACAGATCTAACCAAATAGCCAATTGCCACCTGAACGCCAGTTCTACTGGAAAACAATAGTTCTGGCTTCCAGGAGCACCTTCTTACACATACACAAATACAAATACAGACATACATACAGACTTATAAAGTTTGAAATAATAAATAGTTTATAAAACGTTTTTGAAATTATGATATAGTTACAACATATCTTTCTTTCCTCTCCTTTGTCCAACCCTTGTAGGTACTCTCCTTTCTCTCTTTCAAATTTATAACTTCTTTTGTCATTCATTGTCATTGCATGCATATATGTGTATGTAAGTGTATTCTACACTGCTCTTTCTGAGAATTTCTTTTTACAATAGATGGAGACCACTATAGACACCCAAAACGTATCAAAACGCAGAGTTTTAGAACCCAGTCCCAGGGAATGCATTTACAAAGCACTCCCACACCCAAGGCTAAAGGGCCATGCAGAAGAGGTACAAAAGATTGCAAGAACCAGAGGATCAGGGAGTTTATTGTGAGACCCAGTAACATGGAGGAGGGAAAACCCATAAAACTTTAACCACACACAAAGAAATATCGGCAACTAAAGGATGCTGAGAACTGGAGAAATAATCTTCCCCAGTGAAAAGCATACCAATTGGTTATCTAACAAGTACTTTTAAGAAGAAGAGGATATGCATTAAATAATTTAGAATAATAATCCTATCTGAGTTCTCGGCTCTCTCAAACTTTTTTTTAATGAAAATGGGATATTTCACAACCTGCTATGAGATATCACATGACACCATTTTCTTCACCCACTACTATAAGTTTTTATATATTCCAAACACAATTCCTTCTCCACTAACCGATCTCTTTCTTCTCTTTGAGAATTCTTTCCCATCTTTAGACTCTCCCTGGGTTTGAAGAAGCCTTCCATGGCATCTACTTTCCTCCCTTGAGTACTTCCAGTTTTAGAGAAACCCGGGTGTCTTCCTCTGCTTCCCCTCTCCCACAAACGCATCAAACAGTTTTATTTAGCAATGGAGTGAAAAACAGACAAGACAAAAGTGACTTTTTGGTTACTGAGATGAATGATCTTTATTAAACAACCTGTGTTCTCAAGGACCAGTCCAGTACTCTTGTGCATCAAGAGAGCATAGGGGACACACAGAATTGCTGGACATCTAGAGAGAGGGCTCAGTGGTACTTGTGGGACAGAGCATTGGCCACCCCAGCCACCACCTTCTGCCAGGCAGCCTGCACTTCGGGCGTGAATTCCTTGCCGAAGTGACTGGCCAAAACAATCACCAGCACATTACCCAGGAGCTGTTCGAGGAAAGAGAAAACAAACAGATTGGTGCATTAAATGCAGGCTCAGAAAAAAGTGTAAGAAAGCAAAAAATATTTTGAGCCTATACTCTAACACATTAGGTATCAAACTCCACATTCAGTCACCTCTGATAAGCACAGGTTCACTTTTGCTATTGTCTTGCCACTCACCACTTCTCTGCCTGATTTCTCACACTTTTTCCTCTTTCTGTTATATTCATTTGTCTCTATTGCTACTTTTCCCATTCACCAATTGTCTATTATCTGTAAATACAGAATTTCTGGGCTACAAGTGCTCTTGGTGGAGTTATAAAACCATCACCGATGCAGGAACAAGCCTCTACTTGTCGCAATACTCACTTTGGAGTTTAACACATTTTTATAATGTTGATAAAGAAATTCTATCTTTAAATTGTACCCCAAATCTCTTCTTCAACATCAATTATTAGTATCTACAGAAACTAAACTATTTTCCTCTCCAGGTTCCATTTCTTCTTGAACAGATCAGCTATTCTTTCCCATTACTCTCTACGATAAGTACAACAAAATTCTATCATGACAAAATTTCCTAATTGCCTGTAAACTCATTTAAGCCTCTTACAGCCATTCACTATCATCCTGCCTAGACCAGTGAATTTTGAAATCAGTGTTGGCATCACCATCACTCAAATTCTCAGCTTCCATTTTTGTCCCCAAGACAAATGCAAAATAAAGTAGTGAGATTGCTCTGAACTCACCTTGAAGTTCTCAGGATCCACATGTAGCTTGTCACAGTGCAGTTCGCTGAGTTTAGCCAAGGCAGACTTGAGGTTGTCTAGGTTCTTAATGGCTTCTCCAAGAGAAGACAGCACCTTCTTGCCATGGGCTTTGACCCTCGGGTTGCCCATGATGGCAGAGGCGGAAGACAAGTTCCCAAAGCTGTCAAAGAACCTCTGAGTCCATGGGTAGACAACGAGAAGCCTGTGAAAAAGGTGAGAGACATGGAAAAGTCAGGGATTCTCAGAATACTTGACTTTTCTGGCTAGTTGTCCAAGGTACTATTCACCCTTCTCCCAGATGAATCAGCAACCAAGTCTTACCGTCCCAGGGCTTCACCACCGATATCTTCCACGTTCACCTTACTCCACAGGCCATTGACCAGAGCCTTTTCCTCAGCAGTGAAGTTCACCATGATGTCAGGACTGCGAGCTTGCTGCTGATCACAGGAGTGTCAGAAGCAGGTATGTGCTGCTGCTGGAAGTGGTGGCCTTTTATTCTTCATGGACAATGTTGTGGCCCTTCGGTCCGTACAATTCTTTAAAGCTATTGGTCAGCCTGACCTGTGGTCCTCATGGGTGGAGCCAGGTTATGGGAGGGTCAGCAGTAACTGTACACTGAGTGTATGATAATACAGTTTAGATATGGGGCTATTCTTTCTTTTTTGCCCCTCCTTTAACAAAAACTTTTTTATTCATTCTCTTTTCATTCTCCTCTCTTCCATGTAAACTTCCAAGATAACACTCATCTCTTTCCTCACATTTCCAACAAATGCACAGAGAGGAGTTTAACCTACTATAGGAAAAAATTTCATGTCTAAAATAATGATGATAAGAACAAACTCAAGAAAAAAGGAGTTTATGCTGTGGACACAGAATTACATCTAATTCTTCTCTTGGGATATGTAGATTAAAACTATATCTTCTAGATATGTATTGTCCCAAGTGAACAAGAATCATATTTGGTTGTCTCTGTCAGATGAATACAGTAGCAAAGGATTGACAATGGGACCAAAGATTCAATTCCAAAATATGCCAGGAAGTGATGCCATGAAGAAGATGGGTACCAAGTTCACCTTTTGTGTTTCTAGAGTCCTCTGACTGACTTCTGTGGACCTTGGCTTCTTTGCCTTGGACTCTTTTATTGCTTATTTTCATATAGACAGTTCTCATCTGCAGGATGGAGCTAAAATTACTTTAAAGTAGGCCTTGTGATCCAACTGAGGAATGGGTAAACTGACACATCAGTCACCTGGAGAGATGTTTGGGGATGCTCAGTCTTTGTTGTAGCCGAAGGTGATGATCTCCAGGGCCCTTGATATCTACTCATGTCTTGGGGTCATTTGTTAATTGTTACATATTGGAGCTGAAGTTAGAAGTCTACATTTGTGAGTGTTTAATTTCACCTATGTGCATGAAGGATAGTCTCTACACCACCCTATTTAACCTGCATCTGGCAATATAATTGTCGTTACCCACCTTTTATTTAAACGAAGAAATGAAGTTACAAAGGTGACATAGAGAGCTGATGACTGAGGGAAGGATGCAGATGTGTGCACAGTTTAGCTTTCCTAGCTCCAGAAAAGCTCTCCTACATAATCTAGTTGCCCTTCCAAGTCCCTGTCTTCGGTAGGTTCTGCGTACGTTTTATTCTTTACCTCCTTTGTTGCTCCCTATATTTCTAATAGCCCTATGCATTTCTCATCCAGAAGATTTCATTTTCTTAAGTTTAGTTCTACTCTTTATTTAGCAACGTGGCTTCTATGTCTCCAGTTCTTATATTCTGAGTTTAGCCAGGGGCTTTCCTCTATTACCTTTGATTTGCCTTGACTTTTATGATGACTCTATATGTATAACACAGCCATTTCTGACACATGAGAATGCATCTCTTTTTCCTCCTCCTATGATTACAGAAGCTGTTATCTAACTCATAGTCTTCCCAAATTTGCGTCATTACAAACCATTGAATCCCTGCCCCACTTTCGGTTTTTACTCTACATTGTCTTCTGGGTGCAGATTCTAAGCAGTGGCCAATATAAATGTCAACTTACCTTTTTATGACAGAGAGCAATTTGACAACCTGTTAACTACTAAATAGTGTGCATAAAATAATATACATAGGATTGTCTAGAATATCCATGTAGTTGCCATATACATGTTGAAATAGTTACCTGTGGTATAATATTACATGTACTTACTCATAAATACATTAGTTTTAGTGGTTGATCCATAGCAGCCATAATATCCACTTCATAAAGGTTAATGACAAGGATATCTGTAATAACTATAGTATGGCATTTTAAAAATGCTCTGTGGGTCCAATTTAAGTTTTTCTTGTCTAGAAGAAACAACCTAGAAAACAGAACTCTAGGTTGGAAAAGATGTTTCATTATTTAATAATAAAACTCAATAAACAATAAAAATAGCTGTATGCCAAACTGAGTTACACAGCAAGACCCTTGTCTCAAAAACCCAAGTCAGAGGCTCAAACAATATAGTATTTGCCTAGCATGTACAAAGTCCAGGGATTGGATTCACTCCTAAGCATTGCCCATAAGTGTTCAAAGAAAGGGTAAAATAGTGTGACAATTTCATATACTATTAGTATGGGACATTGAACAATGCATTGTTTGTAGTAAAATAACCTTTTGGTGTATGATTTTTTTAGGGCTGCCCAAGAAAACGTCTTCTTCACCATAAATAGTTTTAAAATTAACAAAATATATATCAGTGAAATTTCTGAGCAGGAAAAAGTCGTTTCCAATTCTTACTGAAAGAAATGGTCACTTGTTTTGCTTGCATTGCATGTCTATATTCATATCCTCCCAACAGCAATAAACGGGATAGAATATTTCCACTAAGTGTTGGGTTCACCAGGAATGTCTTACTGACTAACTGCATCAAGGTGGCATCCCTGCAGAAAGCCTCTAAACTAGAAAATAAGGAACAAGCCATGGACAGTGTCAGATGTGCTTAGGCAGCAGTCCCATAGATGTATTGGAGGCAGAGTTGCCTCTCATTCTCAGAGTGGCTCCCTGCTGCTTGACAGACCTCCTGGAGGCTACCCTGAGCAAACCAGGCAGAGATGTGCATAGCTTTTATTTACCCGGAGAGGTTTGTACTAGGAAGGACAAATAGAAAGCCGCAGCCAACCAGTTGGTCTTCGGTTTCCTTTAGCTATGGAACTTGAAGTTCATACTTGAATCTGGTAACCTAGAAAAGTCATAAATGCCCTATTTTCTTCCAAACTGTCACTTTGTGGTTTTTTTTGGTTTCTTTACCATGCTTTTGTTGTTATTTAGTTGTTGTTGTTGTTTATTTGTTTGTTTTTTTAACTTGATCCATGAGTAATTAAATTGCAAAGTTGTCTGTTTTTCGGATTAAAATTCTGGAGAATTTTATTTGTGTGTTGAATAATCACCTCATGTATTTTATAAACCAAGATCAGCCTACCAAAATACTCTGACATAGTCAGAAATACTTTGTTCTTACTAGGGTCGGTAGTTTTCGTTTTCAATTTTTCTTTCCAGCTAACACCATTCCTTAAGGAATGGCCAAATTTCATTATTTTTAATCAGTTAATTAAGTCAATTAATAGCTGGTAAACTTTACTGAACTTAGACATACATTTGAATAATTTCTAAATAAAATTGGCTCCAACGTTATGCAGAAGGTAGACTTCTGTGGCTGGATGTGTTGGAAATGACCCCATTGTGTGCTTAGGGTCTATCTGTACTTCTAACTGGCAAAGTGAAAGATATCTTTCTATTTAGTGATTTTTGAAATCTAAGAAAAATGAAAAATTGCTATAACTTGCTTACGTACGCCTCTTCAAGATTTGTACTGCCTTATGTGGAAGTTTTAACTTAGGGTAATTCCTAAATTGCAAACTCACATCTCTTTGGAAAAATATAAAGGTGTGACAGTTAGTGAAGTAAGCAGAAACTAAATAACAGCCACCCTGACCAAGTCCAGACCCTATCGTTTAGCAAAGTCATCCCAGTGGAGACTATGAGAAACAACCCTGTGCTTGTTGTTCCTGGGGTTGGCAATATTTAATGATTGTTCTTGCCCCAAAACTCATAACTCAGAAGAATTATTCTGAACATAAGTCTTCTCCACCTCTGGGCTATTGAGTTTGGGGAAGCTAAACTTTCATTTGCCAGAGTACTAGACCCAGGTGTTGAAAAGAACACTTCCCTGCTCTCCAGCCTCACAGGCCTGTGGTGTGGTTTCTCACTAGACCTATTTCCTTCCCTCCATCTTCCTTTTTTCCTCCTTTTTATTCTTGGCCATCTGTCTAGGGACTTGGGACTTTATTTTATTTTATTTTATTTTATTTTAAGAGAAGTCAAAGGACCTGCTGTTTTCCTTTTGCTGGGACTTGGGATGATGGCAGCTAGGTGGGGTCAGAAACTGTGGGGACAGATAAGAACCAGAGGTGCAGAGCTGAGTCAAGGTCGGGGTTTCACTGAGATGGTGAGATTCGAAGTGTTCAGGCTCCTACCTTCTATGTCCCATCATTGTTCCTTCATGAATAGAATGAATGGGCTATGGGATAGTGTTCGAGGATCTGGCTTGGGAAAGCCTGATAAATATATTTAGAGTTTTACAATCATAAGTATATACATATTCCTACAAATGCGTGGCTATTATAAAAATTTACAAGGATACCATGACTATCTATATATAGTTTACGGAGCCCAAAGAGGCAAGGAAATAAGTTGCATTCTTGAAATTCCATTGAGATATCATGTTCTTTTCAAAGACAAAACAAACATAAACCCCAAATGATCAAAAGAGGGACTCAAATGTTATAAAGGAGCTGAAAGAACCCCAAGGCCGGAAACTTTTAACTGTGATCTCATAAAATTCTTATACATAATTAGAAAGTTCATAATTGAGGAACTAGCCCAGGAGGAAACTGTAGGGGAAAAAAAGGTTTCCTACTGGCTACCCTAGAGATGCTTTGAACCTCACATGGTCTCTCCAGGCCATTGCTCTCCTTTACCTGCGGGAATGAACAAAAGTCACTCCTGAGCTGTTGGCACATGTGATGGTCTCAATGGCATAACTACAGCATGCCTGCCATGTGTGTACACACTCGAGCTCACGATAATGCATGTTCATTTCTAAGTGGGAATACAGATCAGTATCAAGATTTTGAGGCTGAAAAAGCAAGCAGTAACTTTGTGCTGACCTCCATCCATACCTGTAGTCACAGCAATCATGACCTCAGAACTGGCTTGACAGATCTATTGGATGGGTAATTAAAGAAACTAGAAGCCATCTTTGGAACTTGGGTGCACAGCAGCCTTTCAGTTAAGACAATGTCAGGCAATATCCCTCTAAGAAGGTGACCAGTGACTTAGAAGCCATGGCATTTTAGTTGGAAGAAGTTTACATTTTCTTTGAGGTGAGAAAACTCTCTGATG